TTGTCTTCCCTACATGTTATTTCACGAGTATTCACCATCAAAATAAGATTATGGTGCAATTCCCACAACCTACAGGAAGGAAAGAGATACTTCTGTTTTCTAAATCTTGTGATGGGAAGCTTCCTCACAGATTATTTCTGTTTTTTTGTATCAGAAAAATGTAAAAAGTGATTATGAAGAATGTGACTGGAAATTGTCGCATTCATTTTAAGGAACATTACAGATATAATGGTGTTGAACAGCACCTGGCTATTGTGAATACACTGTCATCACAGCATCGGTTTCTTATCAAGAACTGATGCTGTTCTGTAATTAAGTCTGTACACTAGACACTGTGCTAAGTATAGCAGGCGATGTCTGCAACAGGAGCAGCCAGCACCTCATCCAACCTCGGACCTGTTGGCTTCACTGTTCCTACGATTGCTCACCACGTAAAAATAATTGTCACACGGAAGTTATACACTGCGGCACGCCTGCTATATAAAGTTGGAGAAGAGGTGCCAACCGTGTCTTGAAGAGCTTGGAACTGGACATCCTTTGCCTGTAACACACCGGTATAAAGGGAATCTGAAAGTCAGTAAAAACGGTCCAGGTGTGATCTCATTGTGGCCTGCTGGACCTTGAAATGACCGGCAGCAGAAAAAATCCGTGAACTCCGAGGCTGGGCTGTTGTCTGACTTTGATTTTTTTTTACGCCAAATAAAAAAAATTCAAAAAGACATGATGCGTTCCAGTTAATAATAATGTATGATGATGATGATGATGATGATTATTATTATAGATGCATGTACAAAGTGATACATGAGTCTTTCATTCAATAGAAGAATGAAAGACTCGTGTATAGAAGTGAATTGTGAGTCAGACCTTTTCCAGGAGTGCTCTTTGTGAAAAAAATAACTCTATTTCGACACTGCTCCGCCCTCCCACTGTATCTGCCAGAACCACACGAAGCGCTTAAAAACAAGGTGTGTAGCGCCACCTATGTCCCCAGAGAAATACTACAACGGGTAGCGACAAGGCGTCCACACGGCCAAGAAGATGCCTTTCTGAAGCATATTAATGCCACCCAGAGTGAAATATGAATCTTCTTCGAACTAAACTATGGAATAAATGCAGACATCTGGTATTACTAACCAATGCTAATCCGCCTTTTACAATGAATCGACATTTCCTGCTCTTGGATGCTCTTAAGTCAAAGAGTTATGTACAAAAAGGTTTGTGAGATTAAATAAGGTGCTCTTATTACTTTTATTGAAAGAGGCATACTTAGAAAAAAAAACTGTCATTATATTTTTGTTGTCTGCACCCTCTAACCCTTATAGACCAAAATGAGAAAGCAAAATGTTCCTAAATGTTAAATGAAATTGCTCGAGTACAAACTACTAATATGTTTGGTGAGGCATTAGAGAGATTTTATTCTGCACCTATTGGTAAATAAAATCTTCTTTAAGAAATGAAATAGCAGATAAAAGCAACATTATTCTTACTCTCATCTCAGCTACGCCTTGCTTGTATTAATAATAAAGACAACTTATTTTATTTTCACCCAGCCTTTTTTTCTGGGCCAGGGAAACTGGAAATAAATTTTGCCCACTCCCCCTCCCCCGTTCTCTCTATATATTTAAAATACGGGAATTAACATCACTTAGAGCTGTCATAGAGAACGACTAAAAAAAAAAAGACGCTTTCAACACGCACGGCATAATCCTTTTAAGAAGACAAGCGGAAACCGATGTGAAAACCTAAAAAACACGGGCAGAAAGAAATTCAGATTTTGGTGTTGAGAACTCTGTAGTGATGACCGTCACCCGCATTCTGCAAAAATGCCAGCCCAGGGACAGGACAGTTTGACCCACGCCAGGCTGAACTACGTGCTGTGTCGCTGGGTCTGAGAAAGGTTAATGGGCAAACCCCCCCCCAAAAAGAAGGCAATTGCCCCCCCCCAGAAAAAAAAAAGGAAAAAAGGAAAAAGCAGCCGGAGCTAACCCGTCGGGGTGTGGCGGCGAGATCAGCTGGGGGCGGGCCTGACGTGGACATGTGGGCGGGGCCGGCGCCGGGGCTCCACCCCCCTCCCTCGCGCCCGGGCCTCGGGGACTGACAGGAAGCGCCCGTCGCCATTGGGCGCACGGCGTTGCTAGGGGCGTGGAAGCGACGTGTAAAAATGGGAGCCGTAGCCGAGCGGTTTTCGTGGACTACCTTGAAAATGCCGGAGAAGGAGACAATGCTGGAAGGGTTTTTTATTTTAACGCGACGAGGACTCTAAACCAGGCTTTGGGAGGAGAAGGAGGAGGAGGAGGGGGGACACACAAAAAAGCGAAAGAGAGAAAGACAGACAGTGTCATGCCGTGTTCTGGGCTTGTTCTCACCCACGTTGCTCCTTTTGTCTTCTGGGATTTCGGGCGCTTTTTGCTGAGGCGAGAAGAGATTTAAATACGTTTTTAAAATTGCGTGTCGGCGGAAGACAGGAAGACCAGCAGCTGCGGCTGAAACAGGGCTCCCCGCTCTCGGTGAAAAGGCTTACTGGAGGATAAGAAAAACCGGCCGTGGCGCAGAAAATTTTTATTTTGTTTCTGTTTTTTTTTTCTTCCATGAGACGTTTTCTTTTTCTTTGGAGGAAGGGAAGCCTATTATTATATGTTGGGTTTTTCCTCCCCCTGAGTATTTAGCCTTTGGTATTGGGAGGGGGAAAAAAAAGGATTTTTTTCCTCATTTTTCCGAGCTCGGTATGCACGTTTGAAACTCACATTTCCTCGTCGTTGTTAAGGTCGTGCCTTTGTTTAGGTTCATCTCGCCTTCAGCCGAGAATCCGTCTTTTTTGCGAGCTAGCCAACTATGCAGTCTCCCATCCAGATTTCGTGCAGCCCGTCTGAGACAATCGCGGAGGCCACTTGAGCAATAATGAATAATACAAGCTTTTTTTTTTCTTCCTCTTAGCGCATCCCAACTGTGCACTTTCAGCAGAGTAGATGCGAAGCCGCTGATAGGAAATTAAATTGGAGGTGGCCATAATATCACAGGGGCCGAGGAATTGCATGGTATGCTATGTCCAGGTCGTCGTTTATTAGGAAATAAATACAATTTTGCCTTGGCTCGAACTGGATGTATACGGAATTGATATAGTGATACCCATGCTAGCGAACTGCGTCAGTGCAACCCTGTGCTGCAGGTACTGTATTGCCATTGGAGAGCGAACATGTTCAAGCCGTTCTGGGTACATCCGAGATAAATGCTGAAATTATTAGCAGAAATGGAAACCGGGGGCGAATCCAGTACAGATCCCCCGTTGGGACTTAAATTCCCATCTGTTCCCGGTTCCGAATGTGAACTTCACATGCATATTTATGAAACCAGCAGTGACAGTAATGTTAGTAACATGGACACTACTGCAGTGCCGAGAGGTGGAAGCGATCCCAGCGCCTACCCTCCGTCAAACTACCAGCGCAGCGCCCATCAGAGGTTCATCAGGCGAAGTTTGTGGTTCTCCGACTCCGACGAGCAGGCGTTTGACCCCCCGGAGGGCGAGAGCCGGTGCAAGGTCCTGAACATCAACTTGCGCACCATTGTGGGCCGGACGCTGGGCGCCCGGGGGGCCCTGCCGGAGGGCCCCAGCACCGAGGGCCAGGGCGCCCGCAAGGACAGCGCCACGGAGAGCGCCAGCGCGGACGAGGAGAGGGAGAAAGGCGAAGCCGGGCACAAGCGCGTCGCCCCGGCCCCGTGTGAGGACGCCAGGGGCCCGGGCAAGGCGGCCAGCGACGAGACCGAGGAGGAGGCCGAGATGAAAGCGGTCTCCACGTCCCCCGGGGGCCGCTTCCTCAAGTTTGACATCGAGCTGGGGAGGGGGTCTTTCAAGACGGTCTACAAGGGGCTGGACACGGACACCTGGGTGGAGGTGGCTTGGTGTGAACTTCAGGTAACAGCCTAGTTCTCCCTCGATGGGGAGTGTGGGGTTTGCGCATTTGGGTTTTTAGATTTCATGCCACTTGTGCCATTTCATGGCCGTGATGCGGTAAAACCGCGATTGATACGCTTGTAAAGTCATAAATGAGCAGCCCAGGAAATCAGGAGCTCCTTAGTTGTTGAAGCGGTCCGATTCGGGCATGCAGAGGTAAAATGCAGTATTGTAGCTGCTGCCCGTAGCATGGGCATTACGTTTAGTGTGTTGCTGTGGTTTTCAAAGGCAGAAGAGGGCTTTACAAATATGTTGAAGGCTATGCATATCCGGCGATGTCGGTGTCGGATTTCAAGTGTCAAGTTCGCATTTGTATTTCAGGAATGATCAACTGCAAGAAGTGAATGAATTTGACCTTTGGCATGTTCATGAATCCGTAAGGTGCTGAGCATTTGTAATGGTGTATGCGGATGGTCGAGTTCTCAGCTGTTCAAGTCTTTGAATCATATCTGCAATGTCATTTTAATAGTAATACTCTTGTTATGCGCCTATGACACATTTACACATATACATTTTGTTCATGGTTCTGTGAGGATGTCTTACAGATCCTAGTACAGAACATATCTAGTTAATGTAACTTGCAACATTGTAGGGAAAAGAATACACCTGAAGGAAGTGCTATACTGCTGTAGCTAAATTTGCTGTTTAACCATCAAGCAGGTGGCAGCATCCCACCTGGGCTTTGAACACGCGACCCTCCGCTCTGGAGTTCAGAGTTGAGCTGATAGTTCTGTTAAGTACTTCATGGTACAGCTGGGTGCAGCTTTCCATGGCCTGCTTCTCCTTGTCTAACCTAAAACCTAATTCAGTGTGTTGGGATCCTGACTGTGCCCAATAAAACCATAAGCTGAGATACTTTGGTACTGTGCCTTGAATAAATCTTTGTGACATATAAAAAGATCAAACTTCAATGTTGCTTCGCTCTAAAGCCAATTGGGTTATTTACCCTTTTCGGCCCTTGAGTTTATCAGAGGAATGACTGGCTTTTTCACAGAAATTCTGTTCAGGTTAACTAAATCTTCATAACTACAGTTTGATTGGCAAATAATTGTCCATTGGCAACTTGCTGCAAGTCTGCAGCACCTAATCACTGGACTTAATATGCAAATAATGGGCATACATGTTGATATCTCACATTGGTACCTTTCATACTGACCCATTTTAATTCTTTCCCATTGCAAATCAGTTTTAGAACCCATGACCATTGTCCTCGATTTAATGATCATGTTGCATAAATGTCGCTGAAAGGGATTTTAAGACAATAGGTTGTGCTGCTGTGAACTAGGCAGTTGCCGTGGATTCATTTCAATAGCAATATTGAAAGGAAGGATTCAGAACTGTGTATACAGGGATCAATTAAAATATTTGTTCAGCTGGGCTACTGTTGTCTGATTGGGCATGGCATTTAATTTTGATTTTGGTTTAATGTCTTATTTAACCCGATAAGCAAACAGAGAACAAACTCTCATTCACAAGAATGGGCTAGAGGCAGTAGCTATTTATACAGCATAGTTTTTACTGGAGCAATGTAAGTAAGATGCTGTACTGGAGGCTGGAACAGTAGCTTCCCATCTGGGATTTGAACCCACAGCTCTCCAATCTGGACTCCAGATCTGTAACCATTACTCCACACTGCTGTCACAGGGGGATATGTGTGAGACGTGGTGATCACCATTCTGTGTTATTGATGCCGGAGAGGACACTATTTTCTCAGAAAGGGGTTCACGGATAAAGAGAATGTGTGAGAAACCCTTGTATCCAACACTTGTGATTCTGAATTCTTTCCTGAAATGTTCACGAAGAGTGCTGTGTTATCAGCGATGTATAACAAAATACACTGTCATCCTTAAACTGAAACACTGTAGATTGCCTAAGAAGCATCAAGGTTTAGATCTGTGTTTCCACTGCTGAATAGATCCCTAAATTGTCAGTCTGTCCACCGTAATCTGTGATTCCACTTGACATAGTTTGCACACAGTAAGAAAGATTAAATGATTTAGGATTTTTTTGGCCTTTTATACTGTTATATACTGTGTAGTATAGACAATTGTGTAGTACTGAGTGACTGTTTTGGTTTGTATTTTTTTAGTTAATCCAACTATTGTTTTTTAAAATGTAGAAAAGAGCAACTTTATTCTAATCCAATTCAATCTTTACTTGACTACTCAATGTTTTGAGAGATTCCTCTGTGAACATGAATAAAAGCTTTTTACTTCAGCAGTTTCTCTGCTAAGGTTAAATCCATGACATTCTAAAATTGCACAATGTACATATTTTAATTTACATTTCATAAACATTTTGATGTGCAGATGAGAACATCTGTCACTTTAGACTGATTGGCTTTGGGGGAAAAAGCATATACGTCTGAAGAGGAGGAGTTGGTATTTATCAATGCTGGAAAGAAAGTGCCTTTTACAGTCTATAAACGTAGAATTCACTGAGTTTTTGAGATGTGCATGCTGTTCTGTCCACCACAAAGTATTTTATATTGCTCTGTGAGATACTAAAGTCACACATGCTGCAGTCTTTATAATGCTGTATCAGTTTTACCAACACAGTTTTTAATAAAAGGGTTTAGCGTTTCTGTTTCTCCCTTGAAGAAAGAAAACTTTTCTCCTTTTATTTTAATGAGGTAGTCTCATTGGTCCACTGTCACATGAGTCTTCAGCCTAGAAGTGCTAATCTGGCATTGCTTTTCAAAACCATTGCTTTTGTCTGTGCTCTAAAACAGATGGGATGTATCTGTGTTGGGCTATAGATCCTAATCCTGTAAAATTCCTGTAGAAGCCTTTTCCAACATCGTTACACTAGTATTACCCGAGGATGTTTAATGTTTGAAAAATTGTCCTTAGAATTTGTTGCAATCAATTTGGTTGTAACAGAACGCTAAGTAGTAGAACACAGGTTTTCTTGTAAATTTCCTTTCAGTGGGTCTGCTAATGTTGCTTAATGTATTTGAAGAAATCATGGGTACAAATCTATTGGTGACCATGTTACCATATTTGTTTTGATCCTGAATTAACATAAAAACAATTTAATGTAAAGATAGTGTTCTGGAAATAATGGAATTGTGGCTTTTAAAAGGCTTTCATCTTAAGAAGTATTAATTTCTACATTTTTTAATGGAGTATGGGACTCATTTTATTTTATTGGGGTTTCAAATGTCAAATTCTGTATCGTTGTGTATATAGTTGCAATGAACAGCATGCTGTTTTATCTTACATAAAGAATTCTTCTGTGAAGATAATATCAGGTGTTCCATTACAGAACATGTGATGATAAAGTCCCAGTCTTACAACTGAGAACATTATCTGCATGCTTCCTAAAATGTTTTTCAGTACTTGTAAGCCACTAGTATGGTTGGTTTCAGTTAAGATACTTCTTTACAGTATCGGAGGAAAGAAAAAATCTGCCAGTCTACCTTTCATAAAAAAATACTAGGTTTACAGTAAAATTAGCATTTCAATAGGATCAGATTATTTCCTTTTGACATCACTAGCAAAATGCCATTTTTAAAGGTACTTAAAGTCTTGTTTTATCAGGGTCTGAGGCATGATGCAGAATTTTGCAGGTAACAACTTCAAACACTGTTCAGGGCAGCAGAATCCTTTTGATAATATGTCGTCTAGACGTAGTGTATTCTAAATGAGGTATAGTTAGTGATCTGGTTGAATTTGAATGCTGTGTATGAAGCAGCAGGATTTATCAGCATTCCTTCCTTGCGGTTCATATCATTCAATGACTGTTTTACATCGGGTGGATTTGATGGACTATAGATACAGTACATGCACAAGCCCATCCTGTTTGGTTTTGTTTACATTTTGAATTGGTAATTTCCAAATACCTTGTGGAAACTGAGGTACATTTGTTTTTGTCATTGTTGTTCTGTCTTTGTGTGGAATGAACACAATTAAGAATCGGTGATTGTAGCATTGTATGTGATTTTTGGATATAAAAAGCAGTATGGAGTTTCTTCGATTACTTTAATATTTTGAGTCTAGCACTGGGAGGAAGTTGTTTTGAAATATTAAACAATGTGCTAAATTATATGTATGTTGCAATTGCCTTTTGGGCTGTATACAATAATTGATGTGTACAGAAATACGTTTGGTATGTAACTTAATGGAAAATTGGTGCTTATTAGATTTGTGGTGCTTTCTATACTACTAATTTACTTCTATCTTTTGTCACAGCAGGAAATATTTCATTCTGTTCACATGAACCCAAGTAAAAAATTTATCAGCTCGACAGTACTTCATATAACTGATCAAAGCAGCCTGTAAAAGATTTAGTGCCATTGTATTTATTTATAGTCTGGTATCATGATCAAAAATACTTATGTTGTCATTTTTCAGTTAGGCAATGAATTTGTTTTAAGTCATAAAAATGTCTTCACCTACAGTGTTTTCTAGAAATTATATCCCTCAGTGATCTTAAACTGTACCATCCATATTTTGAATAGTTAAGATTTTATATACATTGAACAGCTCACAAAAGTGTGGCAGTTCTAAGATCCAAAGGCTATTTGTAAGTATACCACTAAAGAAAGACCACACTGATTCTAGAAATTGTTAATGTCTTTATTTTAAAGTCTGTAAATGTTACAGATAATGCCTTTGATTTACAACAGAGCCCTTTTAAAGTGTGTGGCTGTCCTGTTTGTAGAGTTTCATGGTTTCCTTTGTCCATAGTAAAAATAGCAAACTGATTTATGCCAACACTTTAGCGTGTTGTAAAAGAATAGCATTCTTGTCTGTGGCCTTTTTATACCATAAGCTCCTAATCAGAGAGTGCATTGACTGCCGGTTGCAGAAGTATGAAATGCCACCTTGTTGAGTTTTCACCGAGCTTCATCAGGCACTTGCAGTGTACTCAAATGAACTGTCCCTAACAGCAGTTCTTTCAAATGAACCACCGTCCAAAAGCGGTCAGCTGGAAGTAGAGATGTCCTTATAATGACA